TTTCTACTCTACTACTCTGTCTTATCTTCCTAAGCAGTTTTTTTCATTTACACGCTATATGAAAATGGAGGCCCGTGGAACTCTTCCTCCGCTTTCATTGTAACACTCTTTTTAACTGCCTTTCATTTTAAGTTCACCACTAACCGAAAACATCGACAAATATTACCCTAAAATGACAATTTCTGCTGACATTATTATACATTTTTACGTTTATCTGCGCATATTGTCAAAATCGTCTTTGAATTTTTTACCAAACTTTTTTTATCGAGAGTGCCTTTCTGGCGCTAAAAAATATAAATTCTAAATAAATAAATTCTAAACTTCTCTCTTCTTCTAAGGAACCTGACCTGGAAGATCGTAGCCGTTAGGGTTGAACTTTCTTAGCCTTAACGCCCCTCGATATATGCGTCGCTTGTTTTATTGCAAGTTATTACTAGCAATTTCCTCTTGCCTATTCTGGCCTCCCATGACTTCTCGTACCCCTTAAGGAACCGCGCATATTTGATGTATTTGTATTATTAAAACATTCTGTCAACGCACCTAATGGAAGTAAGTGTTTAAAGCAAGAGGAGGATAATAAAGTGTATTTGTGGTTAGAGGAAATGCAAGACAGGCAGTCAGAAAGATGTTGTGCAACGCCATTTAACACGGTTAAAGCGAGCAGTACTGAAATGGTTGGACATCAAACGCGGTCCACAGGGAAAAGGAAGTGAAATCGTCAAAAACTTAGAAGAAGCAAAAGGGAGATGAAGGGAAACAAGCGCTTGAAGGCAATGTGTTCAGGGTGCATCGTCAAGCTTCAGGCTAAGCGCCTTCAATCCCCAAAAACCTCCTCAGCCACGTTTTCCTCCCGCAGAAAATCAGGATATCCAGTTACGTTTGCAGGGGTCTAGCAGAAAGGGGATTTCCGTCTTCTGCTCTGGGGCGTAGTAGTACTGTGCGCGTATCAGAGAGGTTTTCAGATTTTCGACAAAAATTGTTTGGTTAAGGGTTCGGCTTATGCACCGCTTCAGCTCATCACGTCCACCAAGGTTCTCGGCTTCATAATCTGTGAATTTATCAAATAAGGCAGACAGCGTCTGCTGCTGTGCATCGCATTCAGCACTGCCCAGACCGGGGTAGGGAGGTTTTGCCGGGCCTTCCAAGTCTGCACAGTTCATTTTCCATCCAGTGGGCAGCTCGAACCAAAGGTGGATCATGTCATCGGGGAGAGGGTCTTTGGAATTGACAGCCTGTTCAGATAGTCGCACACATATGGTTGTCCTGGGCTGGGTACATTTTCGGATGGAATCT